CTAGCTACTGAATTAAGGATTCTTTGCTGTCACCCTTTGTGGTGAAGGATAGTTGGAGATGAATGTTCCATTTTTATTTTTACATTTAGCCATGTAGCCTCCTTCCCTTTTCAGCCTTCCCTCACAAACACATGATCCTTTTTTAGCTTTCCCTTTCACAAATACACACGCTCTTCTTCACCTTTCCCTTCCATCCACACATTCATGGAATGTACGTGGGCATACACACACAAGTCTCTCTTCACTTCTGCTTTTCTCTAATACCACCCCGCACATTCAGTCTGGATGGGGTACATACTAAAGTAACACCTAAGGGAGGTGAGAAGAACTTAACTAGGCATCTGAGATTTTCTTCTCCCTATCGCTGATGATAGCCTCTGGGACTAAAGTCTTTGGCCACTGAGGAAAGGAGGCATAAGGCATCTTGCACAAAGGATTTTTTTGTGCAAAACGGACCCGTCTGTACTGCTTGTTTTTGCGCAAAATCCTTTTGCGCAAAAAGCATCGGCAGAGATATGCAAATAACAGCACGACAAATGCTAATGAGCACTTCATTAGCATACTGTCTGCCAACAAATACCTGCAGTGTAGATGTAGCCTCAGAGAGCAGCAGCAATGGGGGGAGCACGAGCTAGTGCTGGGGGTAGCTGGCTTAAAAGCCGGTTCCCCCCCAAGCACTGTCTCTATGGGGAGCAGGGGAGGCAGGGAGCAGCAGGGAAATGGCACGAGTGGGGATTGAAACAGTCCTGCTCGCACTGGTCTCACTGCTGCTCCTCTCCCTTTGGAATGTACAAGAACCACCTGTGTCTTTTGTACGTTTCAAAGGAAGAGGCGCAGAGGGGAACCTGTGCCAGCAGGGACTGCTTTGCTCCCCACTAGAGTGGGTTCCTGCTGCCTCGCTCCCATTGAAATGTACAGGAGCTGTGGGCAGCTCTTGTACATGTCAAAGGGAGAGGTGCAGTGGGATAGCGATGGAAATTCCATCGACTACTCAATTAGCTGATTAATTGAAATTTAACATCACTAGTTTAATGGGATATAGAGAAGTCTCATCCATTGTACATTGCTAATTGTAACTGGGTTCCTGCCTTGACTCTGTAGATGGGGTCAATATAATGGTGATACTGAAAATGTCTATGTATATTAGATCCCCAATGTCATTTTGTTTTCACGGAGAGACATTTTAAACCCACAGCAGTCCAATTCGTGGAATGGGGGAAGAAACATTCTCTGGTGTGAAGTCTCCGGAGGGCATGTTGTCTGTGGCTCAGAAAAATGAATCAATGTTTTCAAAAGGCTCAGAGCAGACCTGAACCCATGACGAGCCAGTGGAGTTCTAACCCCCATCTGCAGGTTGCCAGCAATGAGTTTTGCCCAGGGCTGCTGTCACTGTGACTGCCTCCCCTCGCACTTTCCATAGTGACGGTATCAGGAAGGCTGCTTATACTGCACAGGGATAATAGACACTTCAAAAAAAATGGGAAGTGATTATAACATTTAAGCACTATCTTTGCAGATCTTTTTATATAGAAGGGCAAAGGAATTCCTGTGGCTTGGCTTAGCCATCACTTGTTCCTCAAAGGTTGTGTGGCGAGTCAGTCAGTCAAAGGAGAGTTAATTATAACTCCTAGGGTGTGTCTAGACTACATGCCTCCTTCGACGGAGGCATGTAGATTAGCCAGATTGGAAGAGGGAAATGAATCCGTGATTAAAATAATCGCGGCTTCATTTAAATTTAAATGGCTGCCCCGATCTGCCGATCAGCTGTTTGTCGGCAGATCGGGGCAGTCTGGACGCGATGC